CCCTTCCCTCTGCTCTACAGCGTGCTCACAGAACAAAAAAAAAAAGAGACTAACCTGTCCTTGCCACCTTCCAAGTGGCTGCCTTTTTGATGAAGACCTCTGTCACAGCCTCCTGGGCACAACAGGAAGGCCTATTACAGCCAGAAGAATGCATGGGAAGGTATGAATAAAAGAGAAGTGAGTGTACAAGAAAGTAGAGGGTGTACACTGTAGTGAGAGTAGTAAATATGAGTGATGGGAAAAGCCCTTTGTAAGGTGAACTAAGGGGCACTTAGGGACTTGCCGTATACATTGCACCTGTCTTATCATCATTTAACTCTTATTTGTCGGCCTTACTAAACTGTCAGCAATTCCCTTCCTTCTTGGCCTTTACCTGTAAAATATCATGGAAATGCTGACAGGCTGCCAAACAGGACTGGAAAAGACTTCTGCTGCTTTTTCTTGGCTTTTGACTTTTTTTTTTTTTTTTTAGAATTATACATACCAAAAGGTGCACTTAGCTGCATTTGTATTCAAGAGTCCGCCGTTGAACTGCAGTTCCACTTGACAAAAGATTCCTTTCTCTCACTCACAAGGAACTTTGACATATTTAAATACAAATATCTATTTCTGTACATTCTCTTTCCACTGTTCCCAAAGTCTATTGGTGATGTTTCCTGCCATTTTTGTATTTTTTTTTTATTTATTTCAAGACCAATTCACTTGTCTTTTGATGTATTTCTCACTCAGCTGAGCACATCATTAAACACATCATTTGTGTGCAATTTGATGCAGTTTGCTACAAGGTTACATTTATATTGTAGTGAAGTTTGAGGCCTTGTAGCATTTCAGCTACAATCATTTCCCCCTTCTGTCTGTCTTTTTTCACTCACCCTCAGAAATTGCTTTTGCAGTGATTGCACACTCCTGCTCTGTTCAGTCGCGCTACATTTTAACTTCACAAAAGAGCTTTTCCAATAATCAGTAAGTTAATGTGATGAACATGGTAAATCTTTTGTTTTGTTTGTTTCTTTGACTGCGATGATATATATTTCTTAAACATGCTACATCACGGAACCATATGAATTTGGAACGTTACGTCAGTTTACCAGAATGTGGAGTTTGGACATTTTTATTCATTTGATGGTTTTATTGAAGCGTGTTTTCTTTTTTCTGTCAAGATTAAATTGGAAAGACGCAACATCATGGGGCAAATCAACTTCTAGCTATGTTGTTTTCAACGTGCAAATTTTGTATTTGCAACTTTTTTAATGGGGAACCCTCTTTTTGCTGTAGAATAAACTATTTTTTTTCTGACACATATTTCAGACAGAGTCTCAGGGTTCTCAATGATTTTCAGTGTACCAGGCCATTTTAAGACATTGTTTTGTCCCAGGAGCCACCCTCCAACACACACACTACTATGTACAGTCCATGCCCTTCATCACCTGTGAAGGTCTAATCTTATCTGCTGTCGTTGCATGGCTTGCCATTAATCACTCCCCAAACCCAATCAAATGGTGACTGATGGCTGATCTGGCCTTGCCCGGCCATTCCTCAGGTGCTCTAGATGGTTTGCTCGTGCACTATATTGTACAGATCCCATGGCTGATTATGACTCTTGACTGTGTGTATAAAAACAGCATTGTCCTCTACAAGAGGCACACCATGCACCATGTAACCCTATACCAGCTAACCCTAAAGTTAAGCTTATTATTTTGTTGCTGCAGACACTGGCTCACCAGAAGCTCTTAGTCTGATTTTGCCAGAGTTTAAACTTACTTTTTTTTTTTTCAGTTTCATAAAACATTTGTCTTGTTTGAAGAACTGTGACACTAAGTTGCCATTCATCTTTTTGTTAGAATTATGTCACATGTAGAATGAACATGACAAAGGTGTGCGTGCATTGAAAACAAATAGGAAGGTTTACAGAGTTTGAACAGAAGATTTTGTCTTTTGAAGCACAGGAAATAAATGGAATAAAGTGTAAATTAATCAACTACGGGAACTGGCCATTACTCAAACCAGAGTATAGCTGTTTATTTCATGATCCTTTACCAATCAGCATAAAAAATAAACCAGTTTTCCTTTGCTCAGTCAAGGATAAAAAGCCCAGAAGGGATGAACTGTATTAGTGTAAGGAACGGAAACTATTAAAGTGGACATTTTTTTTTGTATTTTACTGCATTCATCTAGTTTTTCCAATAGTTTTGCTTCACGCTGTTTGTTAGCCACTCAACTGAGTGTCCCTCTGGTCATGACACAAGAACTGATCAGGGATGAAAATCAATACATGCCCAGTGCTGATGTCAAAACACAGATGGCAGGAGTCAGTTTTCAGCCCCCTGAAAGAGTTGTGTTGTTTAATCTTCTCCTATAGACTGTTCTATCCAAATGACTTCCAGGGGGATATGTTACGTCTGTTTGTATTGATCTCCATTAATTGCTGTGACAGTGAATAAATGAAATTAAACATCAAGCAAAATGTGAGACAGAAAATGCCACTTACTTTTGCACACAGTAAACAGGCACAACAGCAGTAAGAACAAGACAGGCATCCACATCCACACTCGGCTGTTTTGTATGAATTGTCATCAGCAAATGATCTTTCCGGTCGGCAGATGATTTGGCACCAGAGTACTCCGATTTTCATAACCTTTGGATGCCTCCTGTCCTTGTCCTACAGAGAACTGAGGACAAAGCTCTGCCCTATTAGAGATGAATAATGAGCTTGTTGGCAAAAGAGACGTTGCTAATGTTTGTCCAAATATCTCGGATATGTCCCCAATGATAATGTATTCAGTGCCAATGCAAAATAAGTCTATATTTGAAGAGGTGATTTCATCTGCTGATATGACTAATAATATCTGCAAAGGGAACGAGAAGAAAATACCTTCCTCTCACATTGGGAGGGTGCATGAGGACCACAATAAAAGCCTGGGTTGTTGGACTGTAATTGATGCTTTGCTTGTGTGGCGGCAAATTTTTGTTTGTTTATTCTAATGGCTGTGAGGACCTGTTGGTCTATTAAGCAGGGAAATGGCAACCAGTGCTCCAGGGAGCGAGTCATTGATCTCTCTTCAGTGTTTCTTTCTTCACAGGTACTTGGGAGTGATTGAGCCAATGCAAGACAAAATATTATTATTATTATTAGTATTATTATTAATAATAATAATAATAATAATAATAATAATATGCCCTGAGATGGACTTGCGACCTGTCCGTATCCTGCTTCTCACAAAGCGATGGCTCGGCATGGGCACCAGTGACCCCCGCAATCCAAAAAGGAAGAAATGGGCAAAATATAATGGATGGATAATAATAATAATAATAATAATAATAATAATAATAATAATAATAAT